ATATACCCTTTTTTGATGTCATATATGTTTTAGATTACAATTTATATTTTTTTCCAAAGCTTACTTAATTTAAGCACACAAACAAAACGCTGAAAGCTATGTCTGTCAAAGCATGATTTATATTGAATGACCTGTATTTATTTAAAGAAGACAGTTTTTTTCTGGCTTATATTACAAATAAATCTTTATTATTTGTTAATAGAATTCAAAATATGAAATGTTTTTAATATGTTTCTAATAACTATAAATGTTGTTTAAGATTAGAGCCAGTTTCGATAATGTCGTTCCACTGTGTTGTGTGCAATGCTGAGAATCAAACGACGGTGATGGCAAATTTTGCTTTTGAAGGCAACATAAATTTTTCAAACGATTGACTCAGCAAAATGACATCAGCATCCCCTGTCGCCCTTCTCCAGCCCCCAGCTGCCCCGCCCACCGTCGTCGTCATTATCGTCCGGCGGCGGCACAAACAGAGACAGACTGAGACAGCTGGAGGGAGCAAGAGGTGGAGAGGCCATCCTGTTCCATGGGAGCCGGCAAATATCCAGAGGTAAACACGTGCATTGCCAGCTTCCGTTATCAGTCAGCTTGTTTGCCAGACAGCCGAGCTATTTCCATTGGACACGCCCACCTGGCCAAAATGTCCTTCCTCCCACACTTCCCTCCCCTCCCTCACAATCATACAATCCTACACATTCGTCTATATTTGTCTGCTTATTGACGCTTTGAAGTCCGTTGAAGTCATACAATTTTCACGCCCCTAACTGAGTAGCTGTCTTGACTCTTCTGTTTGCTCGTGTGTTGAAAATTAACTTTGAAAGATTTCGCTGGCATGAAATTGCTTGACATCGAATTTGCGGTTCAATGGGTCTGATTTTCGCTCAGGATATGTTAAATGCTGTATAAGTTGGGCACACAGTGCGTATGATTGATTTAATTTGACAGCAATGAACAGAGCGGCGCCCATAAATGTTTTCAACAAAATTGAGCTTGAAGTGAAGCTTAGGTACCGATGTTTGTTCAATAATCAATTTATCTACAATCGACTCATAATAAATGTCTATATGTGGCTATAATAGTGATAAATAAGTATTGTTTTATGATTTCGTCATGTTTAATTAATAAATGGAATAATATAAAAATAATAAATTGAAATAAAAAAATGAGATAGAGAGTTGGTAGCTTTGGAGATTTAAAACTCGAATTTGTTTAAACAAATTTCCAATATATTTTAGTCTTTTTACTTTTATATTGAATCAAATTTTAGTGGTCTGTACAATAAGTGATTTAAAATTTGTCATAATATATACAAATGAAATACATACTCAAATACAAATACAGTTCAAAAAGGTCACCTTCATTTTATTACCCTACGCAAGGGTAAACCAATTTAAATGATTTTGAGTTGCCCCGGGGCTAAGCCATCGGGCATCAACGTGGTAGCAACTAATAAAACGTGCGGTAAATATTTATGAATTTTTATTTTACGACACCTCTGAAGCATTCCAGCTGCAGCAATACACTGACCACTGAAAAAGAACTGAAACTACGGGCCAACTGAGCGCTCTATATATTTTAAGCTGAGAAAGACAGGAAAAAAAATTAACATAAGCCGAGGAATGTTCTTTGGCAAAAGAGGAGAACTAAACAAAAAGAAAATCACGGTTTGTAATTACACAAAAGAGAATACACACAGCCAGGGAAGGAGCTATGCCATCCTTGAGAGGCTTGTGTTCATTTCCCCATGAAAAACAGGCGACCAACGGACCTTGTTTATTTGGGTAAGCAAAACAAAACACAGAACTGAAATGAAAATGCAACAAAATAATTAAAAGTCGTGTGGTGCAGAGGTTGATTTCCCAACATGGGAGCCTCGCCTCGGATTGTCGCCAGTCCGAAATTGCTTATGAATTGTAAACAGGAAGGCTTTTTCCCGTCCAGGAGCAACCGCAGGTCCTGGTCAGTTTGTTTGCGCTACGTGTGAATTATAGCATACTTTCAGGCGCGTGCTGGAAATTATATTTAATGGACACGAAAGAATGGCAGTGTTAAGACAACATGATCAAATTTAATGGAAAATATGTTGAATGAGAACTCTATCCTTAAATAACTAAGGTTTACAGCTCTACAAATTTAAAAAACAAGTATTTTTTGAAAACTTATAAAATAAAATTATAATTTTCAACAAATATGACCATTTTTTTTGGCTTATTGTTCACTGTTGTAGATTATAGATATGTAGTGTATTTTGCAGCAAAAAGTTCATATGAGCTTGTGACTACAAATTGTTGTGGAATTTATTTTCTCGCAAAAATGGAATCTAGTTGGAAATGCTTATTCGCTCATAAGCATTTATATTTGCATTTGGAAACTTGGATCAAGTATATTTTATATTTTTTGAAAATGAAAACGGTCATGATTGCTAACAATTCACCAGGCAATCCAGCCTTAAAGAAAGCTGATGGAGAAGGTTCTTTAACGCTAGGGGCTGCCTTTATACGCTCTGGCCAGCCGGCGGCGACATCAACGCCCAGTAACTTGATACGAAAGAGCTCGAATGTGATGACTCTCCAAAGGGACTTAAAGGCATCAGGTGATTCGACGTTGGTGCGGCGGTACGAGCCGATTCGTGCTTGCAAGACCCTTGAGAAGTTCCTTCCATCGCCGGGCCTACAGAGAACTCCGAATTCCCTAAAGTCACCAAAGATCGTCAAGACGCCAATGAGGACCCCAAATAAAACGCCAAAGTTGCCAGTGAAGTCACTAGTGGAGTCGCCAGTAAACTCACCACCAAAGAAACCAATGAAGTCAGGGATCTCTTCTAAGCCAGGTTTTCCTAAGGCAGAAACTAGTTCATCTTATGCAGTACAACCGAATGAAAAAAAATGTCCTCTATTCACAAAATCCTCTACACCGAAAGGCGTAGTAATTAACAACAACATTTCCAAAACGCCGGCAAAACGGTATCAACTCCGAAATCTCCAAGTGATCAAGGTATCTCCTTTTTCTGCGAATCCCCAAATTGAGCAAAAGATCGAGATTCGGGAGGATTCAATCCAGATTCAACCCCATGAGACAAATAAGTGCCGCGAAACGTCAACCAACACAGACATTTCTATACCTCCGAAAGCAAATATTCATGGTAAATTTTTAAAGGGATGCGTGGTCATGTAAAGTAAAAAGATTTTCTAATTTGTAATATTTTTTTTTGTAACATCAATGTACTGTAAAAAAACAAATTAAAACAATGTTTAACTGATAAAATTCGAATCCGATCCTGTAGAAGCTAATTTCGAGATAGTTTTGGGATTACCGCACATGGCGAAAAAATACTTTTTAAACTTATGCTCAAGGATATGTGAAAGTAGGTCATGTGGCTGGCTAAAACAGGCCAAACCATTCACAAGTTTGATCATAATAGTTAAATAGTCTAATTTTTTTCATATTTCAATTCCAGTGTGCAGATGGTCCGAAAACTTATCCATGGCTGCAAAAACAAATCCCATTGCAGTTCCATGGCAAGCAAAAAACGAGGAAAAACACCACGAAGCAGCCGCAAACAAATTGGGGGATCGCCGGCGTAAGCCTACCAAAAACAAGTCACGTTTCGAGGCGCAGGGCACACATGCAAACACTGAGTTGCAGGCCTGTTCGCATAATTGTATTGCATAATTTTAGCACGCGCACTTTTCCCCGCCGATGCCACGCCCCTCAAGCCCCCGACAACCATCACGCTGTGTGACGGCAAACTAAGCGCAGCTCATAAATACGCCTAGAAATATGCTGCTATATTTTTGTAGCTGCCGCACACACAGATACATAGACAATTCGCACTACTTTTCTCATTACAAATTGGATTTTGCAGTCACATTTCGCTTATTACGTTCAAAATCCATGCAAATTTCTTTGCATGCACCCAGCAGACCCGCCCCAAAAAGTGCTTCACCCATTGAACCGCAGTTCCTACGCCCATTTTTTCCTCTACTTCCCATGCACACTGGTCGAAAAAGGGCTAATAAAAATAATTTAATAACGTTTTTACACTTGAATATTACCTCTATTGTACAGAAGTGACACAAACTCGAGCTGTCTATTTCAGTAACTCAGTTAATATATTTTTCTAGCTTACTTTTCAATTATCGGTGTTACCCAAATTTTAATTTTATGATTCGATTTTGTTTGTACTTAGTTGATTTAATATTTTAAATGCTCTAGAAATTAATGTAGGGGAGAGTGGGGCAATTCCGCCATGATATCTTCAAGTTTTGTTTGTCCTTAGAAGTGTTTCTGATGTTATTGTAATGTGGCGGAAATTCCCAAGTAGTTAATAAGCCCACTGTTTCCTAATCAAAATCAGTATTTAAAAAGAAAATACTATGCATTTTTTCGTACAGTGTGTGTTTGGTAGGTTAGCAAAAGCGGGCGTACTGGCATCTTATTACTTTTGCCCACAGATAGCTGTAGATACCAGTGAACACACAGGCAAACAAGCAACTAGCAGCACAATAATATAGAGAGACGGCGGCTGCCAAGTTTATTGTGCAAATATAATTCAGTTTTCTTTTCTCTTTGGCCGCCCTTTTTGTCCCTCGCCCTCCTTCGCTTGCAAATTAGCTGTGTGCAACGTGATAATGCCATTTCTGTGCATTTCGCCAGCTTACAAAGTGCGCTGAAAGAACTTTATTGTCTGAAAAAGTGTAGATTATATAATCATGCTAGGGCTGGGCCTCGGCAAAAGGGAGAATTATTTGAGGCCTGCTGCAACCTAGAGATAATCTTTATTTGAAAAACCGAAATACAAACGAAAGAACACCAGTATAAGGCGGGGTATCATTATTTTTTATTATACATTATGGAGGTTTTTAATGTACCCATGATCCTGAACCAAATTTACATTTTCTTGAGCCAAGTTAAGGAAGGTATTTTTCCGGAATGCCTGCGTTTTTGGAGAATTAAAGTCCTACTCTGTATCATCCAAAAATGCATTCCGTCGTGGTTAGTTTTGTTTTGTTTTTATGCGGCATACTTATATTTCAAAACCAAAATGTAAATGTTGAAAATATTTGAACTTTACATGATGCTGCATCCCTTACGAAGGGTCTTTCCATACGGTGGAATCGAAATTTCTGTGTTGGTTGAAGTTTCGCGGCAATCCCGTGCTTTAGGTTGAATCTGGAATGAATCCTCCTGAATCTGGTTCTCTGGTTCCACTGGCCCCTCATGACGTTCCGGCAACACGACTTGCTGGTCCACGTTGGGTGTGATCTCATAGGGCACTTCAGTGCGGCTATCACCATCTACGAACACGGATTTTATTTCCTTTTCACGATTAATGGAGAATGGCGATACCATGTTCACTTTTAGAACTGAGAGTCGGGCTTGTTTTGTGGGCGTTTCGAAGCCTGTCGATGTTGAGGGTCCTTGGAATAGAGACCGCTTTCTTTCATTCCGTTGTGCCGACAAAGCTGAACTGGTGCCAGCTTCAGGGGAATCTGGCTTAGGAGAAAACTCTTGTTTGTTTGGAGACTTCACTGGCGAATCCTTGGGAGCCTCGGTTGGTGAGTTGTTTGATGTCTTCATTGGCTTTTTGACAATCGTTGGGAGCATTGGGGAATTCGGTGAACTCGGTGTCCTCCGCGCTTTCCGAGTGGTCTTCTTGGGGGTGATATAAGCACGAATCGGCCTTCGACCCTTGATACCCGCGAATGTTAGTGGTATACGGCTCACCAAAGACGAGTCACCCGATCCAGTCAAATCCCTTCGGAGAGCCATCAACCTTGGACTTCTACGGATTAAGTTAGTCGGCGTGGATGTCGCCGCCGGCTGGGCAGTACAGATGGAGGAAGCCTCAGGTGTTGAAGAATTTTTAGCAATCATGAGCGTTTTCATTTTAAAGAAATATAAATTGCTTTCTGGGTGAGCTGTAGCCTTTTGGATAAGCTGAAGCCTAATTATTATAAAGGAATATGCATGGCCAACTAAATGGAGAGTGTGCGACGAATTTTAAAATATAGTGTAAAAGTATACAAAATAATAACAAAAAATTAACATATTGATTTCGTACAAATTGAAAAACAGCTAAGTTATATTATTTAAATTTATTTTTCCTTTTATTCCTATGAAAGTTGTATAATAAAGACGTCCGATTCGACCCGTTTCTCTTTTACAAGACTTTTGGGAACATTTTATCCTTTAACTGAGATACAAGCTTTCGTTGAAACGGATTTAATTAAATTTAATTGAAAGGGTCGGAAGTGTCTTCTTCACTGCTTTGAAATTATAATACCCTTTGTAAAGATAAAAAAATGCGCTTTAAGAGACTAAACTAAATAGGTTGCAACTAATTCTGTGAATCAATTCTGTGAATCAATCTCGCATAGACTAAATAACGTTAAGCGCCAAAGGAAACAACAGCGAACGGTATCACATTTTTTGAGGACCGCACTCTGTTAAAAAACAGAAGATATTAATTAAATTTAATGCCTGTCTAGAGAAGCGACGACGGCTACTGGAAGGCAAAAGAGCGCACAGTAACGAGAGCCCATGGAAATAACCGCTGCAAAAACGTTGCCAGCTGTATTGCATTACGCCTTTAATTCCATTACAGACCCAGTGGGGAAAGGAGCTGGTCCATAAAATGGACGGAAAACACTTGTAAAGTCTGGCGGGCGGCCACAGTCTCATATTCCGTGGCGCCTCGTCCGACATTGCAGCTCAGCAGGGTGCGCGATGGGGATAATGTTGAGGGCGGAGCCAAACTGCGGGATCGAGAGCCTCTTGGCGGGCTAGAGTTTATTATTTAATACTTTGAACGCCATGCGTTGAAATTCGCAGCCATAAATCAATGAAACGACCAGCACAAGTCCACAATTAGCCGGGACAATAGCGTCAAAAGCTTCCTGTTATTTGAACTAGCTTTTTAAGCTAATTAATTCTTATGTTCCCATGCTGCTCAAGCTGAGGGTTAAGCTTCTTTGGAATATGAACTGTGTTTTAAGGTTATTTTTCGTACATTTATATCATTCAAAATAAGAGTTACTATTCAGGCTCACAAATATTTTTCTATAACAAAAGTATTGTATATTAAAAGTCTTTATACTCTTGTAGAGGGCATTATAATTAAGCTCTGATGGAATCAAACGCAATATAAAGGAAAACATTACAAAAATATTGGAACTTCAGGAATTTCCCATTTTTTCAGAAAATTCAGAGTAACGATATCATATAGCTGCCATTGGAATGTAGGAACATAGAAATCCAATAAAATACTTAATAAAATTACTTAAAACTAGTCGAATATGTTTGGAACCATTTTTATTGATAATTTAAAAAAAAAAGTTTTAAGCTCTTATTAGTATCATGGAAACAGGTAAGCTCGGCGCTGTAGTTTTCGTACTTTCATTAATAAGTACATTTTTTTGAATGGATTTTTCGATTACAATATGTGTACCTTTACCATTTGAAAAATATCTATTTGCTTGGTCTCCACCTACAACTTTTTCTATGCGACCATTTGGAACATGTCTTTCGTTTTCACCGGGAATATCTTTTGGTTCAAATCTGTTGCCTGCTGCAGTGGGAACATGTTTTTGGCCTTCATTTGCCGGATACTTTTCGCCTCTACCTAAGCCATATCCACTTGCTCGACCGTCATTTGGATTATATCTAACTGGAGTTGGTCTAGGGTCTCCATAATTCGAATGCACAACTTTTCCGCCTGCAACTTGCTCTTCACCACCATTGGGAAAATATTTCCCAGTTCCTTCACTGGGAAGATTTTTTTGGTCATTATTTGAGGAATCGTTTGGTACAATCCTAGCCGCTTTATGATCTTCATTTGGAACATATCTTCTGCCTCCATCTGGTGCATGTCTATCTCCCTCACGGATGCTTGTGTTTTTCCACCCATAATTCGGCTGCGGCTGCTTCCCAATTAAATTTGCCTCAATCTGCTGTGTAATCCAGCCGCTCATTTTGGAAACATCGGTGTAGACTGCAGGGATCGGCCCGCCGCATCCTATTCCAAAGTTGACGATACCGGCCTGCTCGAACCTCTGGGGATCGTCTCGGATTGGACAGAACAGAGGTGCTCCTCCGTCGCCGTCGCACGAATCCTTGCCGATTTCTCCGCCGGCGCACATCAGGCTGTCATCCAGCCTGAAGTCTGAGGAATACCTCAAAGGTTCTTGCAGTTGCCGCTCGCAGGTATATCTGTCCACTATCGGCACCTCGATCTTCTTCAGGATGTTCATGTAATTGTTGTCCTCGATGTGTTGCTTACCCCAGCCACTGACAAAGCATCGGTCTCGAATGAAGTTCTGGTTCGGCGGCGGCAGGCAGATAATATTAATATGGCGGGATAGCTCGAGTGGTCTCTCTAGGAACAGAAGGGCCACATTGTTGGCTCCAGTTGACATAGAAAAATCAGGGTGGCGAACGATCTTCCTGATGGCGACATCGACATGTTTCTGCTGCTCGGTTTTGGTATTGAAATCCCATTCACCAGCCCGCACAATAAGCTGGCTTTCGTTCAATTTTCGCGTCACATGCGTGGCTGTGAGCACTACTTCCGGGGCAATGAGGGAGCCGGCTGCCTTGTATTGCAGGCTTGTGGCATCCAGCAGAGCCACCACCCATGGCATCTCGGCCTCCTGGGCCAGATCCCGCAACCCCCTTATGGTGAAAGTCAGGCCTTCCTTGTTGAGGTGGCCACAATCCAATTGAACCGGGTCATCAGAGACGGAAATAGGATTTCCCAACTGCAAGGGGAAACAGTTATTAAAAGATCTTACTTTCCTGACCGCATTACCATTTCTGTAAGGGGGCAGCAGGCTTCCGTGGAAGGACATCCCATGTTGCCGTGTTCAAGATCTCGAAACTCGATGACCGTCTTTCCATTCTCGGAGTTGATCTTGCAGGTCTTCCGTGGCACACACTTCCGATCCGTGGATCCTCCGCAAAATCTGGCCTTGACTTCGTAGATGGTCAGGACCAAAAACAGGATGGAAAGTAATCCGTGTAGGCGAACCATTCTCGTCACTTAAGTGGAACAAACTAACGGATGTGTGCCAATCTGCCACAACGTTGACTAATCCTGACCTTTTTTAACTCGAGATAAGATTGGTTCTGATGGCTTGACGACTAATCAAGCTTTTGGGTATTTTGGGTCTATATACCCAAGAAGCTTTTGCAAAAAATTCGTTTTTTATGCATATATGTACGTTTATATACTATAAAGCTATAATGATTTTTCGCTGAATTATTCAATCAGAATGAATGCATATATCCAAGCTTCATCTATAAGGACAAGCACAAATGCATGTTTATGGGAGATGATACTTAGATTTATGCTTTCGTTCCGAAAACAAAATTTTTGTGAACTATTTAAAATATCATTACGTGTATCGGATCCGCTGATTATGATCAATTTGAACAAATGCATATATTTAAAAGAAATTGGACATTTAATTTGAGAGCCCGGTTATACTTAAGTGTTTTGCCTGGAAGACAGCCAATTCTAAATGCCTCTGAATCAGACTTGTGTGGAACATTTCAATTTTGCATTTGGAGGAACTTTCGGCGCAATTGCTTAACTAATTCCCCTGGCCTTTTCAACGAGAATGAGTTAAGCAAACAAAATGCGAGCAACTTTCCCCGCACACCCATTTGGATGGAATAGACAAGACAAACAGCCAAAGCCAGTTACAACAACGTCGGTGCAGAAAACTTCAACAAGACAAGACACAACGCAAGGACAAGGCTAACATCAGCGGCTGGGAGGTGGGTGGTTGGGTGTTCTGGGTGGTTTTGGGTGTTTTTGGGTGGTTTTGGGTGGTGGCCAAGTGGGAGGTGGGCGATGGGCGATGGGCGATGGGCGGTACAAGTGGCAGCATGTTGGAGCGTTCTGCGTGACGGTTACAGCATGGCAAACAAGATTGGAGGGGTAAGGTGGGGTGGGGTGGGGGGCCACTAGTCTCGTACTGGTAAACTTCTACAACTAATCCTGACTGATGTTGCGACAATATATACAAACAAGCATCTGGATACACACTTTCATATAGTACATATCTATATGGAGTGGCGCAGGCACAACACATGCTTCGCAGCCACGCTTTGCTGCTTTCTTTTTAGCCCCAGCCCCACTTGTTTGCAATTTGTGTTGAAGATTTATGCGTTAGCGCAAAAGTTGCATTTCAAATGGATTTATATAAGAATAAGGAAATAATAACACTGGCACGAGAAGCACTATCGCAGAGGGTTCAAGGCGAATGCGACGTACGTGCGATTCGCATTCTCTAATCAACATTGGGGGACTAGCAAATGCAATAAAGTGCTTTCAGGATCTAGCAATTTTATTAGAATTACTTGTTTTAATCATAAAGAATACATTGGGACTACATACTGTATCTAAACATTAATGTGCTTAACATGGAATTTTCCCTTTTAAGTATTTGCTATTTCATAAGAGTTACTAGCCTAAATTATAAGAAAATTCTATTATATTACTTGTTTGAATGAAAACTGAATTATGTTTAAAGGGGCATTTCAACTTTATATGCTTTAATGTAAGTATCTTGAAATCAATATATGTGTTATGAATGTTTTATTGTAATCAGAAGAATATTTTATAAAAATAAAATTAAAATAGTGGACATTAAAAATTAAAATTTCAGAGTACATTTTATGTTACACAATTAAGAACATCTCATGCATATTTGTTATATTTTGAATTTATTTGACCTACTAATTACCTTTTGTTATTCAATACTAAAACCAATTCATGTTGTTTGTTTACCCCGCTTATTGTGGAACTTGCTATGATCAATTTAATTATTGCGAGAATTATTACTCGCTAAAAATAAAATTAAATTAATGCTGACACCCACAAAAATGTTGCCAAATTGGTTGTATTAATTAGGCGTGAATCGCACCGTGACCTGGGACCATTAAGCAAATTAGTCAGTTAACCTTTTTATGAAGTAAACAATGTATTTATTGTGCACGGTTGATTGATAATTTTAAATTTAATTGGATTTCCTACTGCGAGAGAAGGGCAGTTCTATGAGTTGAAAACTATAAATAAAATACACGTCCGGGTAAACTTTCGGAAAATGATTGAATGTATTTTCAAAGTCACAGCTGTGGCTACAAGTTCACCGCACTTTCCACGTCTTTTCCTTGCATTGCATGTGTGTGTTGGTGAAAAGTTGAGTTCGAGTTTTGAGTAATTCAGCGACACATTTTCCGCCCACCCAACGAAATGACAAACTTTGTTCTAGAAAACTTAAGGTCGACACTCTTTTTCCCCCCCACACAAAATAGTTGTTGTGACTACTTCTCCGGTTCTATTCTTTTTACACTGCCAAAAAAATTGGCTAAAAACAATTCGTTTGAGGACAAAATATATATAGTTATGTTCACTTGCAAAATCGCTTCTATATAAACAGATATTAGTATTACAATATTTCATAAAAAAAAGTTTTATTTTAAAGAAATATTGAAGTAGTTTAAATCAATCAAAAAAAATTAGCAATACAATTTTAAAAATGTTTTTAAAAAGTAATAAAAAAAGCAAACGTTTTTTATTTATAAAAATATATCTTAGTTAGATATTTAAATTAACACTCTATTAATCTCAGTGAACATTTCTCTTTCAATCGAATGTGTGCTCTGTAGTAGCTTAATTAAGTGCATAAACTTCTAGGCGAAAATACACGCTGAGGTCCCTTTCTACCTCTGTTGATACACCTTTACACCCACTTGCCCTTCCACACACACACATACCAAGGCACACACATATTTGCAGGTTTATGTTTAGGTCCTTTTACTCCTTTTTTAGCTCGTCATCAGTTGCTGTTGTCGCCGGTTCCCTTGGGGCAAGTTTTTGGGGCCGAGGTATAAATTTGAAACGCTTTACATTGTTTACGCAATTTGCCTTGGTTACAGTCACAGTTACAAAACTGTGCAAGTGTGGGTAAAACTGAACGTGTGTGTGTGTGTGTGTGTGAGCCTGGCGAAGTCCTTTGCTAAAGTGTTGCAATTATATTGATTGAATTTTGTGGCAGCATCGCAAGAGCATCAGCCATATTATTCGCACGTCACCCAGGGGAGGCATTTCGCAGGGGGCGTGTTGGGGGCGTGGCAAGTCCTTTATCGCCAATGATAACCGTTTCACACCTTTCGGCATCTGGGGTTTAATTCTCGTCGCAGGCTCTTCATCCTAATGTGTCGAGGGACATGTGGCCAATTGACTTCGGTATGATTGGCAGGGATATCGAATTAATCAAGTAGTGAAAGTGGGTAAGACCCGAAACGAGTTCGTTTACTTACCAGTCTATAGAATTTAAAGACTTATTTTTTTATTTCATGTTAGTTAAAAGTTTACATATTTTCTGATTAAGTTTGCCAAAAGGATAAATATTAAAACTGAATATACATTTGTTTTAATAAATCTGGTTTTAGCTTAAAATATTCCTATTTTAATCCTACAACAGGAAATTGGAAATAATTTTTTAAATTATCTCGATGTAACCTGAGAATCTTTGTTTTCTTTTATTGAGACTGTAAATCATTTTAGTTTGTGATACTCTCGTATATTAATCGCAGAATTTATTAAAATTCATAGATCAATATCACAGATTTATTTATAACCAGGCCAAATTTTACCTCATTTGTATTCATTAAACTAAATAAATGCATATGATAAATACCAATGGACTACTCTGTCAGCATTTATGACATCCCATTGGCTTCTTGTCAAAAATCAGCAAACAATTGGCATTCTCGTGTATGCTGAGCTGTCTGAATATGTGTGAACATTTTTGATATATTTTTACAGATTTTCTAATTAAAATTTTTACGCGTGTAAGCATGCTGTCACAATGTTGACAGGGGCCAGTGGCAAATAAACGAATGGCTGGTAGGCTGCAAGCCTGAAACAAATGTCTATAAAGGTGGCATGTTAATTTGCATACGTTCACTTATTACAGCATATGCGCATATATGTATAGTACATATAAGCGGCTATTGAATGCGTTATAAATTCAGTAAACAAATAAATTAAGACAATTTGCAACAAATCAGCGGCGTATTTGGTTAATTTCCAAATATGCAAGCTAGTGGGCCCAGAACAGCATATGCAAATTGCCGCAGCTAAACTACAAAAAGTCTGTATTTGAACCCTGTATAATAAAGTGATAAAATATTTATACAAACACAAGGTTTGTCGGTTCAACAAAGTTACCCTAATGACAAAGTGATTCTCTTTTAAAGTTTATAGTATTATTTTTTTAATTCTATATAGGTTTAAAATTTTAACAAATTAATGGCTAAGTTATGTCATTTTTAAATCAAACACTTTTTAAGTCTTGCAACCTTATTTGATCAAAAATTATAAAAGAAAATAAGTTAAATAATTACATATTTAAGACTTACAACTACTTGGAGTACGGCGTAAAGGGAGTTGAAGTACAAAAATGTCAAAGTTCATGATAGGCTAGCCGTTTTACCTCTTCTTGAAGAGCATCAATTATTCAGAGTGTGGATTGCGTTCGAGACCAACTTTCAGCTCACCTGGCTTTGATATTTGCATAGGCCACGCATTTTGTGATTAACAGCTTCCCAAATATAATTACGAAATTCCTGATTGCATATGTATGTGAATGGATGGGTGCGTGTATGGGCGCATTGTATGGCTGAATAATTACATTGTATTTAACTGAAAAAGTTTTCCGTTAGTTGCCAAGGGTTATTCCCACCTAAGCCCTCCCGCTCCCTAAATTTATATATCCATATACCGCTTTCAACATAATTATTGCAATTTATTTTGCTGCTAAAATCTGCGCACACTATTTGCAAAGCACACATCCCGGCGCACATCAATACCGATCACTTTCGTGCAATATTTAGTTTGATTTGCTGCAAATTGCATGAAGTGTTGTCGATTGGTTGGCCGGGTTCCTAAATTGCGGAATCAAGTTACTTCATTATAGTTGCTGCCAGGGCAGCAATGCAGGGGTTTATCAATCAAAC